ACTGATACACTGTAGAAATTGTCCCAATGAGTTTATAATCCAGTGAGAGTTACACGGTACTGATAAGTAAAGGAAGTTCAACCAGACAGTTTAATCCTCCAATTTCCTGTCTTCTAATCAGCGACTGACTCCTCTGGCTTTAAATTAGAAACATTCATGGCAATATTCAGGACAGGTGAAGTAAAAAGAGTAGAAAACAACTAGGACAAATACTTATAGGCAAAAGGAGGCCATGTATAGAAAATGAAGATACTTTAAAGTGTATGTATAATAATGCACTGAAGTGTTAAAGTTATACATAGAATTTAGGAACTCTGACAGAGAAGGAATAATTTTATTAAAAATATTTATACAACAGCTGAGCAGTGTATGAACATGTGAGAGTTACTGTATTAAACAAAGGAAATCCATGCAATGTTACACTCTGTTCACACTTCATTATTTTTACAGGGGTAGGAGCAGGATAATTATTAATACATATATGCTTTTTGATACACAGTAAATCATGAGTCGGAAGCACAGATCAGCAAAGCCACGGATGGTTCAACAGCATGTGGGGATTACCATGATAAACTTGGATGAGAGTACATACAGATACGCTCAGTGATTTAAAGAAAAAAATACTACTTTTGAGCATTTTGGCAGTAACAATTAGTTTTTCGTATGATGAAATTAAATATTTATTAGATGCGCCATTCTTTTTAATCTCATTTACAATGAGATTTATCGTGAGGATTCTACTAATTCTTAATTGATGGAAATTATAGTTCCATTTTGAAATTTTGAATTTTTTTGATTGCATAAATCATCTGAGCAACTTCAGCTATTCCTCTGAAAAAAACAGAGCACAGAGGTGGGAAAGAAAAGTAGTTACCAACAGCTCCAGTGTAAAAATGTTGAGTTAAAAACCTCTAAAGTAACAAAATGACCACTTCAAGTCCAGTCTGATTATTTTTAATAAATTCTCTCTTTATTTATGGCATCTAAAGAAAACAAAGGCATTTACACTGAACTATGGATAATAAAAGTAGAAAACCAACTATTTTGGAAAATGACTGAAAGCTCTGCTTTGACTGTTGCATTCAATAAGAGCAGTTTGACTGCTAACTCATACATGGAGTCATTGGAAATGGCTTCTTATTTATTAATGAGGTTTTTTATATTTCTTCAGATGTTTCACAAAGAGAACACTTTGGGGGTTTGAAACTGTTTGGACCGAGAGAACTCAAATTATGGGTACAAGTCGGCTCTCAGTCCCTCAGGTGAGTAAACCTGGAGTCGCTCTACTCCTCCCAGCGCAGCAACTCCAGGCCGACGGCAGCATAAACCTTGAGCAGAATTTGGCCCAATTTGGGATCTTTAGTTTTGTATTGTCATGGAGAATTTTCCTCCAGTATGTACCTTTGCTGCGCATGTATTTCAATAACCCCATGCAAAGGAATTTTGCAGACAATCCCTTATTAAACATATTATAGTCACATCATACTGGCTTTGCTAGAGCAAATAATTTTAAAAAAATAATCAGCTTGAAATAAATGTTTATAAAAGTAGCACAGCTGCACATATTTGTTACAAATGCAAGACAGTACTGAAACTTTTCTATGACTAACCCTTTAGTGTCTCTATGACGGCAGCAAATTTAAATTTAAAGTGCCAATGATAACAAAATAATGATCATTTTTCCGACAAATTCATCTCGTATCTTCAGACTGCTATAGCAGTTAAATTATTTACTATTATATCTTTATTTAAAAATTAAATATAATTTATTTATACGCAAATTTACAGCATTTGGGAGAAATTTTATGCTAAAATGTCACATTACAACATAGCCAAAATAATACTGTTTCTACATTTACTTGATTAAAGCATAAAAAAGTAGATTAGGTGTAAGATTGCCTTAAACAGTGGTGACAAAAGCAATTATTGCTGAAATGTACAAATCCTGTGCGTTCTGCTGAAATGTTTGAAACATTTACAACTGTCTACAAGAAAGAAAAATAATGTTTTTCTTTTACTTTGACCTCTTGCTATTTTGGCAAGTAAGATAAAATACATTAGCCATTCCATCAGATGGCGGGAGAGAAAAACTAGCTGTGATGAGGAAAAACGAATTAAAGGAGCATTAATAAAGATTATCTATGAAAGAAAATAAGGTCAAAATTAGAACTCTGCATTTTAAAGCCACCTTTCAGAATTGCAAGCTGCTTTGCCCAATGCTAAAATCCATTCATTTTACTAATCATGCAATCAACCAATCTCCATTATCTCCAGGGCTGGCTATAAACATGCTATACACTGGGGTGAAAGAGGGAGAGTGTGAGGTTGAGAGACAGAGAGAGGGAAAGAAAGAAAGAAAGAAAGAGAGAGAGATTACTACTCTCAGCCTTTTATAAAGCCGTTTCTTTCATTATAACAGGTCCTTTCATCCAAATGACACAGAACATTTAAATTTGGGCATAATACTCCAGTACAGTACACAGCTATAGCTTCAAATGGATTTAGAACCTGCTCCAGAAAGAAAACAAACTCCCTCGCTTGACACACAAATTGTTTACGATTCATTAAAAAGCAAAATTGCATATCCCAGTGCTGGCAGCTGAGTCCATATGGGTGCAAGGGGTATTCACTCATCTCTTTGTATGCTGGCAGTACCAAACCGAAGTTTAGCACTGTGCAGCTGAGATTTTGTGCAGCCAGACGATGCATGAGGTAATTTTCAAAGCTTTATTTGTCTTTAAAACATTAAAATCTGCTCTCTAGCTTACTTTTGATTAAAAGAATGTGGCAAATGGGATGAGGTTTGGGGGTAAGAAAAAATATATCTACTTTTTGTTGTACGTTTTAGATTAGCAGTGTATGAAAGCCTGCTTATTACTCCATCAATAATTGAAACTTTGTATGAAAATTATTTGCAATTAACACATCTATTGTAAAGATCTTGAATTATTCATTTCAGCTAAAAATAACATCTCTTTCATCTAGCACAACTTGAACAAAAAGAGGCTATTTTAGTGATTTTTTTTTTCTGTTAGAAAATAAATGGTGTGACGTTCAAGTTTAAGGAGAACTTTCTGCAATGTTTAATCTAAACAACAGCATGTGTGGTTATAAAACTGTTTATTTTTAGGCAAGTGCATTACTAAATGTTTCCAGGATTTTTGCATATTATATTCACAGTACTAAAACATCTGTGAAATAGATGTGACTGAAATGAAACTTCCTCGGACACTTTCTACAGAGGGATAATAACTGCCTAGTAACATTTGAGGATACTTATTAAATAATAAACACGGACATACCTCTTCATAAAAGCAGCCGATACACAATAAAAGAGGAGTGGTAATAAAATATACAAATGGCTTAGAATAAGGCAAAATCACAGCATGATATAAATCTTTGTGGCTAAAACAGGTACTTGAAAAACTTTGCTTTGAAAACGATAAGTAAAAATCAATAGCCTTATTTACAGAGGTTTAACAAGCTAAAAAAAAAAAAAAGTCACATGAATAATCAACAGTTTATGTGCATGCAAATACCCCTTCCCCCTCCAACTTCTCCTGGCAGAAAGTCTAATTGGAAAATCAGTACTATAAGTAAAGCGGTTACCCTTCCCTATTCCCATTAACCAAACACTGCATGTTACATTTCACTGGCAACCGCTGGCAAACCTCTAGGAGACGCTTAAAAAATTAAGAGTTTAGACAAAACAAAACGGAAAACCCCGAGCCCAAACACCTTTAAATACAAGCCACATGATATACACAATGGCCACCACCAAGCTGCAGAATAAAAACCTTCCGGATCTCACTTTTAAAAGTCTTTCAAGTCCTCTGAGGTCTTAAACTTTCCAAATGATACCAAAATTGGTCCGGGGCGGCGAGGGGGAGGGAAAGCCCCCGACTTGTTTCAGCGTATCATACAATGAAAGTGATCATGCCTTGTTTTGTAATTCCACTCGCCAGTTCTTTTTTAACTGATATCTATGTGAAATGAGCTGAGGTTCACGGTCCAGTTAGGAGCGGATAATACATTCATTGTCCTGGCAGCAAACTTTTCCTCTCACTGGAAGAATTCACGCTTGCCACAAGAATAATAATTACAGAAAACTAAAAATGCGCTGCTAACGAATTAATCCCTAACGGACAACACGCTAACGAGGGCAGTAATGATTTGAGGACTCTCTTCCTCGCAACAGGACTTGCATCTTCTGCTACAATGGGCTATTGTGCATCCTCCTAACTCACTATACCTCTTATAGATTCAAGATGTCAAAGGTTGTCTGGCCCGGCTGACCATGACATGCTAGTTAACTCGTTCTACGGAGCACGTTGGGACTTTATTGAAACTTTAATTGCGCCCAAAAGCAGCTAGAGCCAGACTATGTGGGATCTGTAACACATGGCTCCAGGTCAGCACAGCCCGGGAACCTGTTCTAACGCAAACAAGCGGAGGGAAAAGTTAGATCGGGGTCTCGGCTGAAAGGCAGCACCTCGCAAACCGCGCTCCTCTCACACGTGATGATTTTACACCACGCCACGACTGCACCGTCCCAGGCTTTTACAGTGAGCGACTCGCTGGGTAACGGACTGAACTTTCCACCTCCCCTCTTTACAAAATATTGCATGGTAAAAAATGCACGCGCACACGGACGCTGGAAAGCAGCAGATAAAGTAAAACAAACTGAGCGCTAGGCAGCCGACTGAGACAAGTTACTCTGCACAACAAGGCTTTTTCAAACTACTTCTTTGCACACTTTTTTTTTTTTTTCCCTTAAGGAGAATTGAAAAAGCTTCCCTCTGGAAACTGTAGTGCACATTAACGATCTCCTGTTACACAGGGGAAAGCACACAAGTGGGGCAAGTGTGAGGCTGCTCTACTGAAGAGTGTGAAAAAAATCAAATGTTAATTTGATAAATGTGAGGTCTGGGACATTTTGTCAAAGAGGGAGGGAAAGTAGAAAAGGGAGAAAAAAAAAAGCAGCCCTGCTGCCAACTCACCATCCACCAAGTTCTGGCCGAGATGTCGTAGCAGAGCTGCCATTTGATGGAGCCGTCGGAGGTTTTCCCTGCCATTATGCTGTCAGCAAGCTTCATCTGATGCTAACTCACGGGAGATAAGACACCTAATTGAGAAAACATTTGCACTGGCATGTTGGGCAACATGTAGCCCGGTCCATACCATATGGAATCATGGGTAAAAAAAAAAAAATCTCCTTGACAATGAACCAATCTCTCACAGACCCAGTGGCAAGGTGAAGTGGAGATGAAAAGTCATCTGCTCCTAGCACTGTCTTCTCCTCTCTCTCTCTCTCCCTCTCTCTCCCCCTCTCTCACTCACTCTTTTTTTTTTTAAATAAGAACCCACTGCTCAACATCAAAGAGAGGCGGTCAAAATTAGGGCTTCATCACTCAGATGATTTTGGTCTGCAAGGTTTTTCTTTCCTTTCCTCTTTTTCTTTTTTAAGAAGAATAAAGAGATTTAATAGGACAAAGGCAGGTAGTGGACTGTGGAGGGAGATCGCCACAGGCTATTAGCCTAAAATTTCTGCTTGACAGATGGAACTGCTTAGAGACTATCATGCAATGTTTTGGGTGGGTTTTTTTTGTTTTTTTTTTTAAAGACTTTCAGTCTGATTCACTATCTGTTTATCGCAGCTACTTTTCTCATGTACGTGACCGGGAGGGGAAAAAAAAGACTGAGAAAAAAAAGAAAAAGATAGCGTCTTTCTTTCTTTATTTCATAATTGTGTGTATAATCATTTAAGCAGTGAAAGGCACAACAAAAGTATAAACTGCTCCAGTTAATTTCTCAACCCAGTGACAGATGCTTTCTGAAGGAATCAAATGCTCTTCCATTTTTTTGAGATGTTAAAGTTTTAGATCTTTGTTCCTTCTTGATTTTAGATATCAGATCATATTGTATAAATGAATGACTTTTCATATGAAAGTTCAAAGTGCTGCCTAAGAACTGAAGAATTCCCTTTTTATATATACATTTTTCTTAATATAATTTTGCTACCATATTTTTTAAATCTGGTTTTTAATGTTACACTTTCTAATACCATCGGGTGACAACCACCAAACTCACAGAGGTTTGTTTTTTCCTCATGCAAAACTTCTCTGCAACACTCAAAATTTACATGAGGAATTGACAGACAACTTGGGAAAAGACAACTCCAAAACAAAAAATTTTGAAAAGTTATGAAATTCTGCTGTCTAATATTAAAATCCATTTCCTGGATAGCAAAGTCAAAGATAATAATAGATTTTTCCCAATTTTCCACTTCTTCTGGAGCACTGTAAGCCCAACAGAAGCATTACTTTTATGACAGCTGACTATTAAGCAGACAGTGAATGCTTTCCATTTAAATCACCCTGCTGTGTCACACGGAGTGACGGTTGCTGGGCTGTGACTACCACCCCTCACTGACAGGGCACTCCAGCCTATACAGTTGTGCCTTTCCTCAAGTGCTCGGAAAAATGAACTTCTGAACTGGCAAACGGACTCTTGCCAGGAATATTTCTTAGGGCTGTGGAGCTATGGCTAATACAACTTGCTCACTCAGAAACAGCTACACTCTGCAAATCTTTTTGTGATTTGGATGCAAGAGGAAAATGTATTAAAACCATCCACTTGATTTTAAACAATATCCTTTTCTGTTGGTATCAAAAAAGGGAGCTCGTGGGCATACAATTCTTCCTTGGATGTTTTGTGTACTAACTGTTGTTTAACTATTTGGCTACAGCAAAATGATCATTCTGGGCTGCACAGATTACAGAACTGCCATTCAGTGCAGGACAGGACTAACTTTCATTGAGCTTCAATAATACCTTCACATTTCCGTGATGTGCGAGATGATAAGCAAATGATTTAGGGTAGGTACAAACTGCTAATGTAACATGTAGGGACTAGGAGTTTGGGTTTATTTTCCCCAGCCTTTCAATCTGTTTGGACTACATGAAAAATACATTAATGAATGATCTCTGCAACTACTCAGCATACCAGTTTGCACTTTAAACTTCAGGTAGCAGGTATAATCTCATTGCAGTTTACAGGAAAGGGTCTGACTAGCATGGGAAGTGTTAAGTTTTATTTCGAGTCCAGGAAAAAAAAGATGGACACTGTGCCAGGAACTGTCTTTGCTCTGGCCAGGCAAAGCGTTCGTCATCTTCTGTTACTGCAGGTTTGTTACCTGTCCTTTCAGTGCATCGCTGCTTATTGAAAAAAACTTCCCTCCAAATAATCCCACAAAATATAAAGCAAAATGCTCAGTAGCAATCAGCCCTTGAATCAGTGTCAGATTCAATTTTATGCTGCTCTCCTGCTCCTACCTCTCAAACCCATCAACATACCCACCCGGCTTATTATTTATTTAGTATTTCATACCCAGTTGTGCTGCACATCATTCCAGACAAGTTCTGATAAATCTCTATTCTATATGGGCTTTCAGCACCTGGTGTAGTTATAGAGCTCCTGACAAACTTTCTCTGCACTGCTCTATTAAACACTTCTTCCTATAACAATATGCGACTCTACCTCCCAATATTAATTATAAACACACCAACTAAATATTTCTTTACATCATACACTTTTCAGATTATGAATGACAGAAGCATGAAACCATTTCCTTCCTGACAGTGGTTATGTGCAAAGAAACGAGGAGTGCTGTTGGTTAACAGCATTTTAAATTCAGAACAATTAGGTGCAGTTAACGTTGCCATTGTTCTTTCTGATGCTGGGGATGGTGGGTTCTTACCCGTAGAGCAATTACTCCTTTTATAAGCGGCTGTTGTTAATAGCATTAAAACAAGATTAAATACAACATGTTAAATATTGCAATTATTGTGGAAAATAAAATTATTTGGTGAGCATAATGGGGAGCAAATCAAGCATTTAACATGATCCAGGAAATGCTACTCCAAACAATTGCATTTGTTTTATGCAATTTTTCCCCTTTGATTGCTGACAGATGCCGTTTTGGAAACAAACATCTAAGTAGTTTTCCTTCAATCAGGAAAAAAACCACACACCAGAAAATGGCTACATGTTTTGAATTTAACTCTTGTCAATCAGCATTCTGCACAGCACTCCCTGTGAATAGTACTGGGACAAAACGATGCCTTCCAAAGACTAATAAGCCACAAAGATGTTTGCTTCTAAATCAGATCTGTTCTGAAGAAAGGAAAAGCCTTCGTGCATCATCGACATTTGTGCAGACACAGCTGCAAAATAAAAATGCTTGCAATACAGGAGTGATATTTCACGTTGGAAATAAGTTAGGTGTGTATGGTTGTGGGCTACAGGAGAAGAGATTTGTTTTCTGACAGCTTCAGGCCTCAAGCAATGGATTGAAGTACTTGCCAGTTTCTTTCTGACTTCCTGCTGGAGAAGTGGCCAACTACCCAAAAATAATTGGCTTAATTGTTGAGCAGAGTTACCTGCAACAGTTCAAACAGTGCGAGTGGGCCCCTCTACCTCCCCTCAGCAGCACACTTGGATGGGGATACTGTGTATGGAACCAGGAACGAATGCTAAAAAAGGCTAATAAAGTATATTAATTCAGATGACTGTATCAAGCTGGCATTTTACAGTCTACTGGAAACCGAATGCATGAGAGCATTAGAAATGTTGGCATAGCGGGTGGTTTCTCCAAATGTTGGCTTCTGCTATTCACATTGGTAAAAGAAACGTGGTAGAACTGTGTGCAGCTCCCAGCACCAGACACATCTTTAAGATCTTAGTCCTCATTACTAGATTATCTATTAATTGCACAGCACCCATTGTTCATTAACCCTCTCTTTATCACCTTTGCCTCCCCCTTTTTCTCCAGTTGCAATTGCTCAGAACCTTTTCAGCCGATTGCACCAGTGTGATTTTAGATCTGTTCCTAATCTGGAAGGCATTTTCCTTGGGAAGCCTGAACTTAGATGAGCTACAAAGAGGATTTCCTTATCTTGAACAGTGACAATTAGTTCAAGTGCCACGTGAGAGCCGGTAGTTGATTTTTGGACAGCCTCTGAACTGATGCAAAGTTGCTGACAACGAGTGTGTTCTAGCTTTTGGAAATCCTATAATCCTGGTTTCAATCAAGAGGATCTGCTGTTGCTGAAGGCGTAAACAAGGAGAGAAGCAGCATGTGACCACGGCTGCTGCACCTTCAAGGACTCCCGAGCCAAAACAAGCGCAATGGTAAAGCTTCTACTGGTTGCTCAACGTTACACATATATTTCAGATGATTTTCCTGAACCCAGGGAAAATAGTTCTTTCCCCTCTGCAGGAAAAGTTGTTTTTGGACTCTGCATTTCCCCCTGTAGCTCTGTTGTGTGTGTTTCTCCCCACTCCCTTCTCACTCCTCTGATTTTCTTCCTACCATCTGTATTCCCCTTTTGCCTCATCTGAAACAAGCATCAAGATCTTGTTTCTGACAGAACGGTCTGTCAATATGGAAACACACTGACATCACAGACAGTGCTGTGACTTCATGTCTGAAAGAAACAGGAGGAACAGATGAAAGGAGAGAAGGAAAAGGAATGACACATACAAACATTTTTAAAAAATAAGTAAAAATTCTTCTCTATCAATCCAAAATGTAAAGGAACATAAACCAGATTTATTTTTAAGTCTAAATATAACCCACTCTTTCCTAATCTGTGACCATAACTCAGTACAACATTTCAACATGCTCTTCACCTGAAAGAGGTCCCTGTCTCCCAGGAGCATGTGTTTGGCTGGCTCAAGGCCCATGTGAGGCAACATGACCTCGAGAAGGACTGAACAGGGACTAATCTGGAAAAAGCTAATATCAAGCATATATTGGAAGAAATCTTTAGATATAAGAGAGGAATCCTGCCCTGGACTAATCTATACCATCTAAGTAAATGCAAATTCACAGAATTATAAATAAAAGCATTTATCAAAATTACAAACTCTATTTGGATGCAGCTGGATTAAAGGTATCACTGCCCGTTGGGGTGGGGATACAGGATATACCCAGAAAACACTGAGCACACAGGGGTGGAATATCACCTTATTATTACTATTTTTTTTCTTCCTGGTATGAAATATTAACAAAAATATCTAACCAATATTTCTATTACTAGCAGGTTTTTTTGCATAAGAATT